ACACACAGACGGAAGACTTCAGCCTTTGCCAATTCTTTTCTCAGTTGCCGACGTCTACTGCATAAATGCCAGAACTGCTGAAAAACTGGTACACCACCAACAATCTTGTCCAGCCTCCCCCTGGTTTCCTCACTACTCAATAGCAACAAAGAACTTTATTGCTGAGTAGCCCTATTTCTATTCCTCCCTTTTTCAGGCACAAGCTAATAGCCAACTAAGATTATGAAAATAAAAGAAATGAGATCCATTCCAACCCATCAGTATATCTGAATGCCATCATGTGAGTTGCCAATTGGTTTTCCAGTCCTCACGCTCAATATCTGCTGTTAATTTGCTTGCTATTTCAAGAACTTGAGGACTGTCAGCAAAATCCATGATGCATTACAAAACTTATAATTGAAAAGCAAAAAAATCAAGATCTGACGTTCTTCTGACAGGATAAACACTAAATCTGAAAGCACTGATCAGAGCAAGGGAGCGCCACTAACCTGGAGCTACTTGTACTAAAATATCATTGCAAATGAAGCAGAGAATGAAAGAGTGGTAGAAATAATTTCAAACTGATGCAAACCCCCAAAATTTACATGGGGCTAAAAGGGGAATAACAAAAATTGCACCAAAAGGTATTTTTAAAGGAGACGGCTGAACCTGTCCTTACTTCCTTAAGGCTGCATTATCTATGCCAATTAAAATTTTGCTTCTGAAAAACAGTTAAGGCACTTCCTCTGGAGTTACTAAAAAAAGCAAATTAAAGCCTTGGCTTCGCAGAGGTGAGCGACAGCAAGCCGTTTGTTCTTGACCTCTGGATCACCCTATAGATCAAATTCCTGGACATAGGAAAAACCCACTAGTATTCATTAAAAGCAACTGGGAGGCCAGCTTTGTGCTTCTGTTCTTGAGACCTGAACAAGCTACAACTTGACAAACGTGCAGGATATTGCTGAACAATGCTGCTGTTCCTGTCCGAAGGGAAGAGCTTTATTCCCAGCTTCATTCAGGATGAATTGATTTTCATCACAATGATGCAAATCGCAGTTTTCAGTCATTTAAATAGTCGATTTTAATCTTTTACGTTTGTGCTTTTCAGTTATTTCCATAATGCTGATTCCGTTAACCATTAAAATGTATTGATTTATACCGAATTAGCTTTTATATTAAACATTTTCTTCCCTCAAAAAGCTTCCTCTATCTATAGTTCTCTACAACAAATACATATGCTGAAAGCTTGGATCTTCAGTTTTACTTTTCAGTCTTCTAGCTATGGGTGGAATTTGTCCATATATTAATATCTAAAAATAATGTAAATGATTGCTTTATTGGATTATTTTTTACTTATGGCTTGTGTCTTTTTGTGGCATTTTAATGGAGAACAGGATTTAAAATTCCATAAATAAGCCTACTGCCTTGAGATTAATGAAATTAACCACCATAAATTTCTACACGCACAAAATAAAGTTCATCAGAATACTTTTTCATTTCAACTATTTTTGCCTTTCAAACCAACCAAAAAAAAAAACCCAAAAAACAAACTACCTGTAGAGCTGAACAGCAGAACAAAACAAAACAGAGAAAAATTATTCTCCCTGAACAATTGTTTCTGTCAAAACGTGGTTTAAACGAATTCTGGCTCCATTTAACTGCAGTTCTCTAGTGGTTTGAACACTCTTAAAGCTTCATTAGAAAACAGGCATTGCTAAAATATTTGTATTCAAACGTCTACAGCATACTTGAGTAAATTCAGTCCTTAGCATGGATGAACAATTCCAAATATAATTTAAAAAACCACACAGATTTTAAAATAACAACATCTGAATTTAAATAAAACTTATACATATTCAGCACTCAAAGCTGCAGGAAAAACAGACTGTCTCTCCTTATCCTTTTACAGACACATCAGTATGAGTTATGCTTATGTATACTTTACAAGGGGAACACTGAGATTTAAAAATTCATATATCCATTACTGTCTGTATTTTTTGTCCTGTTCAGTGAGTAGCCTCAATCTCAAATTTCCAAAGTAGAAAATGTTTCCATTGGAATCTTTGCAAAGAGTTTTGACTGCATAAACTACCCATTATTTCCCTACCAAACAAGCCAGATTCAGAGGACAAAGTCAGAAGGAAGAGGAAGGAAAGAAATGTCTTTGTGGATTGTTATCTAGAGACCAAATGGAAAACCTTCAGCCATTTTGCTCCTTAAAGGTACATCAAAAATCTCTCATTTAAGGTATGAGAATGTCAAGTTACGTTCTCCAGCTCTGAAAATGAGCAGAGCTCCCAATGTGATTCACGTCCCACCCTTGCTCTTTTCTCTTTTAGGGGCTGATACTCGTTTTCAACTTCCCTCCAGCTAATGCCATTTAATACTCTCAGAACCATCAGGCTAAATTCAAATTTTCTGCTCCTTGGAGGCTGTTGATATGCACCACCACACATTCCAATTGCAAATACACATCAATGCTCTCGTGTATTTTAAGTTATTTTCTACACAGAAATTCTACCAAATTGTAAGTTAGGAGGCACTATGTGAATTCTCTTAGGTCTTTAGAAAGCTTTCAGATGTACCCTGAGTAATAACATGTAATGAATATGGACTGATATTTCTTTTCTGTAGTTACACTGAGTTGGCAATTTACGTTTTCTAAATAGATAGATGACTTATAGCCAGTTTTCTCACTATTCTGGCAATTACTTCTTAGAAACCCCTGACAGGCTGAAACCTCCAGAATCACAGCTGTTATTCTTAGTTTGATCCCTCTTTTTAAATTAAAACCAGTAGCTTTATCAGCAAATGAGATTTTTTTTCCCTCTGGAGATACTTACAAAAATGCATATAAATTGAATATGCCAAGTTATCTCGTTTTTAGGGTTGGTGCATCTTCTGGGTTAATGACCAAGGTTCCACTTCTGCGACAGAACTAATTGGGGTAAGGAGGCCACAAATATATACAACACCAACACTGCTTCCTGCCTCCCTCCACCTCCCCCCCCCCCAGTGCTCTTCCTTTGGGGTAAAATCTGAAGATTTATAGTAGTAGAGCGAGGTGTGATTGGAGGGGAACGAGAAAAAAAAATTAAGAAGCGCTAACAGGCTTGTCTGATCATTCTGTCTCAGTTTCCAGGCACAGAACAGATTTGAAACAGATTTTTCTAGTATGTGATGTGACTTTCCCTTCCTCTCTCTCTCAAAGACCAACTAAAATGCAGAAACTGTCTGAATTTTCATGTTTTACAGGAAACCACATTATTTGGGGGGAGAAGGAAAGAGAAGACTGGATCTCTATGCTCCAAACACCGAACAGCTGATCTAAGAAGCTGCATTTGAAATGATAACCTCAAATCTATATCAACCCCTGCTCAAGACATGCTTCGATAACAGTTTCACAGCTAAACACAAATGAAACATCCTTCCGAGGGAGAAACGTGTACTTGGTTGGAGCTCAGCATGCCTTTGTAGCAATCTAGCTTCGTTTCCCACTGATTGCTAATTGGAAAAATCCAGTTATTAACAGATTATAAGGAGGAATAATTAAGATTTGTCCTCCATGACTAGGTCAGAGTACATATGCCATCCACTTGTTATGGTTAAAACAACTCAGTTCCTTGACGTGGCATCCCTTAGCATCTCAGAAAAAACATTCTAAATCCACACGTATACCTGCAAAATGAAAGAACTCCCAAATACAGGCAGAGACAAAGGGATAATAGATTGCCTATAGGTTATTACTAAAAAAAAATCATTTTAAATGTCTTGTAAGAGATGATTCCTAACCGGAATTAAGATAATCTTTCCCAATTAGCTGATACTGCAGTACTTAGAGGTTGGTTTGGGATTTTGGGGGGATTTTGGTCATTTTTTTAGCTAAGCAATGTCAGGCTGATTTAAACTACTAGCTAAAGGCTATGACTTAAATTTAAAGAATTAGTAGCTTAAGTCAAACATGTGAGATACAGAGCTAGAACACAATTTTCTAGCCAGCACTGATGTACAAAATATGACCTCAAAAAAGCATTGTCAGAAGTATCAGTGTGCATCACCAAGGGCTGCAGGCCAAGCAAACAGTCAATAAAGATGAGATGAAGGGGAAAATTTCTAATATCTGTATAGGTTTGCTCCATCCTTTGGTTCAACCCCTGCTATTCTCCCTTCCTCTCGTACTTTCACCTTTAAAGCAAGCCTGATGTCAAAAATATAAGCTTACAATAAACCCTTCTTATAGACGTGCATAAATTAGCACCTAAGTACTTCAGCTGACAATCGAGAATGTCGAGCAGCGCAATGATTATCACCGCCAATGAAGTTCAGGTTTCTGGTAGAGCTTGAAACGACTGTAGCTGGTTTTAGCGTGAGAATTTAAAACAAGTGTTACCCAAGACTCCACGCAGAGATATCAGGCACCACAATTAAAGAACATGTAGAAAAACCAAGGAAGAGTCTCCTTAGTACAAAACTGGACAGCACATGCTTGGCACAGGGGTGGAATGAGATCAAAACTGGCTTGAATTTTCCTTATCACGACCTTACAGATGAAAGAAAACAATGCCTAGAACTGATCAGAAATAATGCTTAACTTGCTGCCTTGTACCTTGTGCTGTGGGGGTGTTAAATGCTGCCATACTGATCTATTAGCACAGCAGACACAAATACCTAAACAGTGTACAAGAAATACAATGCAGCTTCACTAATAAATACTAAGATGCAGTTAACCCACAAGCACAGTGTGGATACTGAGTCCACAATTTTTTAAGGGCATTCAGCAGGCAGAATAGAAATAATTACAATTCCTTTTGTCATTTTTCAAGCACATGGCTAAATAGAGCCTATTTATCCACAAAAGAAAAAAAAAAAAGAAGTGGCAATTGTTTGAGGCTAGTTTACAGCTTAAGTTTGATACTGATCTGCAGGGCAACGCAACAAAGCAGCTTCATGCATTTTCAACAGGAATAATTCTGCTGTGGTTCAAGTAATGAACAGCAAAGAAAGTTTAAATTGAGACTTACCACGGGGCACCGTATATTCGGAATCCTTTAACTGTTACTTCTGAATCTTGTAAGTAAATACTATTTGTCAGGAGTGACTGAACATTGTCAAAGTCCTCTGGTTTCAATTTGGACACAGAGGGAAAGCGGTAGTAATCTTGTTTAACAAGGTCTGCCATGAATTCCTTATCAAATGTCAGTTCATGATTCCCAGCAATCACTATTTTATATTCATATGGTAGGTTTCCTGAAATAACAAAAAAGAGGACTTAATTAGCACATTTTCCTCCCACTTCAGCATTGCTGGCACAATAAGTAGACAGCTAGCAGTGACAGAATGAAATACCCCAGGTCTATGTGCATCTCCATGCCGAGCAGAAGTTATTAATGCTGCTCCTTTTCAGTTGAATGAAACTGTGTTAAAATGTAAAGTAATATCGCACAAAGAAATGTCATAATAAAAACCATGTACTGCAGAGTTAAACAAAACAAGCCGGTAGGCACCAAACCAGCTCCAAAGGTGGTACAAACCACCACCACTCCCTTGCTTTCAACTGAGGCCACACTGATTTAGATTAGCCTAAGATTAGGCAGCTGGTGCTGCTGGTTTTTAGATTATGCTGTTATTTTGAGTCATGCCATTTATTCCAGACCTAGCCTGTTTTCCAAAGCTTCAATTCCCTTGCAATGGACTTCCACTTCATTATTATTACTCAGTTTATAGCAGTATCTCCTTTCTGTAAGAAGCACACGTGGAGAAGAAACCATGGAACTCAGGCAAGTGAGACACAAGGTGGGAACAAGGAAATGTGGTTCATTAATTTATGCTGTTATAAGCATGCAGGTTTGATCACCCCAATTCAGAGCAACTATTCCCGTTGTTTGGAAGGAAGGAGGCACGGATCAGGCTCATGGAGCCAGATTTTTGGAGTTCAGAGACAGGTTTGCAAGCACTCGTTACCAACAGCCAGTGCCAAATCTTCCAAATAAACATACTGGGTGTGCTGAGCTCCCTTAAGAATATGGTCCCATACTGTGGTGTCTTCACAGAAGTCTGGTTCTTTTACAAAACCTGTCTCACTGTGACTTGCCAAAAATCACACCTAAGTTTGCATCAAAGCTAATTTCTACTGCCTTCACCATAGCCTGATTTCCTTGTCTTATAGCAAATCATTTACTTTGGTGTTTAATCCTAATGATCATTTAGAGAGGGCTGGTTCTGTTGTTTGGGTTTTTTTCCATAAAGACAGCAAAATATATGTGGAAATGTCTTTGTGGGACCCCCTTCTAGTTCTGGTACTCCCAACTCCCTGAGGAACACAGATGCTACATATTTCTCATGAACATGGTCCTCCTAAATAGATGTGGCTTTGCTAGTTTAAATCTTGTCTTGCAACTTTCAAAACTGTTTGGGTTTGTGTTGTTTTGTTTCTTTTTTTTTAGGTAAGTTTCAAAGCAAAGATGCAAGTATTTACAGTCAGATTAACTTTCCCCTAAATAAGACTTATGGGGATCCAGTCAAAACCATCTGGTTTTCAATATTTACAGCATAGAAACAGGAATTACACAAGATATGTATACAAACATCATCGCTGCAAAATTAGTTAATTCTAGATAGAAAAACTAAAAAGCTACAAATTCCCTGGGGGGAAACACTCCTCCCCCCACCCCCCAAAAAAAAAAACAAACAAAAACCGAACTTCCAAGAAGTCTTCACAGGCACCTCATATCTGAACAAAATGCAGATCACACATATTCATAACTTTGCAGTGCTGCATTAGAATAAAAGGTGGGGGAGATGCAATAAATGCTCCTCCGAAGTTTATGCCTCACTCCTTTCCCTTCCCCTCTGCTACGGGCTGTTCTGCAATTCATTTTTATTTAAAAACTCAGTGTGGCAGGTACCTACAACCCCTTCTCTCTGTGACTCCTGGGCACAAGGTAAAATTGCTGGTTTCTCCTCTCTCAGGAACCATAAAAGATACCACCGGCATGAAATTTGATACACTTGTCGTAACTATCCATCCCCCAAAACAAGCTAGATGTGATAAAATTCTCAGAAAAGTAGAATGGAGGAGTTAAATTCAGGTTTCTGCCAAGCTGTCAGCATTTGCCAGTCTTAGCAGAGAAAACGTCTCCTCTTACTGGATAAACGTCCAAGTTTTACACTTGCTCCCACTTCTATTTTGATAAATTAAGTCTGGAACATTTTTGCTTGAAGTCAATGTTGGATTTTTTTATCTTGACACCTTGAAAAAGAGGGCTTGCCTTGAAAACACACAGGACACCAGTAGACAAAACAGTGGTGGCATCATGATTATTAGAACATACATACATATGACATTATGCATCTTAAATAAGCACCTGAAATCCATAGGGAAAACCAAACAGTATTTACTGCAATTAGAGCCTCCACTTGGTCACCTCTTGAGAGCCCGGATGGGGGGACCTGAGAGAGAACAGGGGACATGGCCCCACCAATGAAACTTAAGCACCAACACTGAGGAATAAGGCAAAACATGCCCCGAAGGAGAAACCCCATGGGGATCAAAGTTCATCGATATCTACGTGCAAGCTCTAGCTCAGCACACCCACTGCCTGTGAGCTGGAGAGTAACCAGGGCTGGCTGCAGATGCAATGGCCTACAGTCCCAGGTCCCCCATCCAGGAATGAGACAAGACAAGCTTCACTCCATACCTGTACACACTTTAATACTGAGCACAGGATGGGCACCAAGGTCTGGCCTGGCTCCCTACCTAGCTCCCTGACTCCATAACCAGTCACATTTTGCTGGCAATGAGCAACACCACCCACTAAAACAAACGCAGCAAAAGCCAAGCCCAAGCAAAGGGGAGCAGCAAGAGGAAGTCTCATCCATTCCTTTCCCCTTCCCTGAGGAAGGGCTATATAGCACTAATCACAGTAATAAATTACCTGCGATCACATTAGCTATTTATTCATCGCGTTCCGGTTTTCCCTTCCTGAAAGGCCCTGTGGCAGTGCAGAACGTTTCTTTTCTCGGACACAATTTATGAAATACTTTTGTGTGTTTTCTTTGGGCAGCCCTGCCCTTTGTCTATAATCTGCTGACCTTCTGTGTTTAATATAGAAGCATAAACAGTCACACAAAAAATCGCCGACTCCATGGTATTTTAGTTTCATCTTGACCAGATTAATCTCTGCACATCTACCTCCCTGTTGTCTGTACAAAGAGATGATGTAGCACAATACACAGGCTGAAAGACATTTCCTCATTCTCCTTCACTAAACTTCGGTGAGCGACATTTGGTCTTTGTTAGTCTAATTTCCTAACTTTTCAATTTTCCATCATGCATCAGTGATATTATTAATTCTAATTTTTACTGTGACTCTAGAAAACAGATAGAATTGCTTTCCAAACCCTAGTTTGGAAGAGTCTGGACTGTTTGGTAGCACAAGTACTTCACAACCCCAATTACCAGCTCCCAGGGTTATAACTGAGTTCAAATTCAAAATAGTTAAATGTTTAACAGGCGAGATCAAAAGCCTAAAAACTATTAGGACACCAAGTCTGTGGAGTCACTTACACTGGGGTATTTGAAATCCTAAATATTTAGGTATGTGAATACAAAAGGAGGGGTGTGTGTATCTTCAATATATATTTATATTTTGGCTAAGATGTTTTACAACACCTGCCCTCAACAGCAGAAGCAAGATGCAATCATCAATCAAGAAAATAATGCAATTAGACAAGTTCTTCTCTTCTAGAAGACAGAACAGGGGGGGTTGTTGGGGTTTTTTTAACCTACATAAATAGGTGTTCCCTTGGAGTTTTTTAAGTTCCTAGGAGTCCTTAATCTGTCGAACAATCACTCCCATTATAATGGCATGCTTCATATGTACTTCATGTGAGCACAATTTAGTCACACAGGCCAAGTTCCGTAGAGCTGCCAGACATGAAAAGGAGTCTGGCTCGCAATGAGTGTTAACTGTCGAGTCCCTATAAAAATAGAAAAATCACATTATTTTTTAAATACTGTTACCTAAAAAACCCACAGGGAAGTAAAAGAATAAGAAATAATGGGATATAGCTGTCCATACAGCGGTAGAAACCTGTATTTACATACAAATGCTGCGCAAGTGCTTTTGATGTGAAGCTCTGAATATGTTCACGCATGCATCAACTATTCATACCCCACAACACTTCCATGAAATCCGAAGCGTTTCCATGCCCATTTCAGAGCCTGACAGACCCTTTGGCCATATTTTGAGAAACGGGCTGAGAAACAGTGAAGCACAAATCTTAACCCCTTCAGAAAGAGGGAGACATGCCTATACAAATGAATCACCTCAAATTTATGGTGTATCGTATACGCTTCAGAAGCGCAAAACTGGTCATGAAGCATCTGCCTATAACCAACTACACACACATCCAGAGATGAACACGGAAGGAGCAGACCTTGTGGCATTCCTATGGACTTCCAGTCCTGGGCAGCAGGCAAGGGCAACCAGCAGAACCTTCTACTGCTCGGCAGCTCTGTAACTCTTCAGGGAGGTTTGTCATGGAGAGCCCACTGCATCCCATGGGCACGGTTATTCTCTCTTCCCAGCATTTACAAGCACAACTGCAACATACATAGGCCCCTTCCATCTTCTTAAAAGAAAGAGTATCTCAAAGGGCTCTGACTTCTCCTTTGTCAGCAGCAAGTGAGTTAGACTAAAAGTACAGCTATACAGACTCAAGCTTTTGGCGAGACCTCTCTCACCAACAATCAACTGCAGGTACCAAGATCCAAATCTGGGCAGGGAGAACAAACATCTTTTCCAGGATGAGACCGACCAACTGACTGTGAAAATATTTTGGCTGTTTTAATCAAACAGCCTTCACAAAAAGTCCTCAACGGAATAGCTAAAAAACTGCTGCCAACCAACATCACTGGCTGAAAATATAACCCATAAATTTCCATGCGTTTTACCTCAGCTTCTGTAGAAATCTACAGAACAAACCAATTCAAACCAGAGAAACAGGCAAATAAAAGAGAGAACATGCACAAAACCCACAACATGCTTCTAAAGAAATACGAAGAACTGAAGATCTCTCAAGATTTTCTCAATGGAAAGTATTCTACCAGCTTTTTAAACTACCACCAGTTCAGATGCCTTTTTTTTTCTCCTCCCAAAAGCAAATTTTGGAGAAGAAAAAACTATGGCAAAACACACAAAGGCAACACCGCAAGAGGAGCAGCTGAATGGAAGTTTAACTCTTTT